GCGTGGGAGGAGAGAGGGAAAAGAGGCTGATTTTTCTATTGATGGAAAACTTTTTTTTATTTTATTTTTATTTTTTATTTAGGCGGTGAATTGCATAAATAAGTATATGGTATTTGGGTAATTTGGCGGTGATTTACTTTGATCGTGTGTTTGGAGTTTCAATTACTTTCTAAATTTGGATTTCTGATAAATTGCTTTCGAAAATCTGGATATTTGGGAAATTCGCATATTTCAATTGTTGCCACGGTTTATTCGATTATATAATCAACCATATTATTATTATTCCTTTAATTAACTTATCATTATCACCGTTATTGTTATTATCATTATCATCGTTATTATTATTATCATTATCATCGCCATTATTATTATCATTATCATCGTTTATCATTATCATTATCATTATTATTATTATATTATCATTATCATCGTTATTATTATTATCATTATCATTATCATCGTTATTATTATTATCATTATCATTATCATCATCATTATTATTATCATTATTATATTATCATTATCCTCTATTATCATTATCATCATATCATCATTATCATTGTTGGGGTGGCTATTATTATTACTATTGTAATTATTTTCATTATCATCATTTATGGCGTCATCCTCCCCCAGGCGTCAACATCGAAGTGGTGGACCAGGGCGTGAACGGCGTGGTGGTCTCCTCGCTGGTGAGGAACGGCGCCGTGCACAAGGACGGCCGCCTGCACGCTGGGGACTTCATCCTCAGCGTCAACAACGAGTCCATGAGGAACATCACCAACTCCCAGGCCAGAGCCATCCTCAGGCGCACTCAGCTGGTCAGCACCGACGTCAGGTCAGTTCAGAGCAGTTCAGGAGCACTTTTTCAGATGGTACAAGGAGCTGGGACTCGGTGGTAGTGGTTGCAGTTGGCATCCTCTTTGCTATTTGGTATGCGAGAGTGGTCGTGATTGCGCCTTTACTGCATAGACTTATGGAATTCGTAAGACATATCCAGATTATATTAATAAAAGCTGTAGGAAGAAATACACGTTTCACGACTGCGTATTGCATCAAAAGAGTAAACGCCAGCGCACTTGCAGACAAACAAACGTTTTTTTCTTTTTCTTCTTCCTCTTCTCTTTCTTCCCATTCGTCATGTAGGCAAAACAGAAACGAACGTTAGACCCACCTAGTCTAAAATCCTCATGGGTCGGACACGTGAGGCAGAACTCACGCGCAGACGTTCTCTCACCCAGTCTTCCTTGTGCAGTAAACGTTCGCACCTTCTTGGTCATGTACCTTTTGCCTTATAAGGTGTGAGTACGCCAGCAACACGTGGCGCGGCGCCTCCGACCCTGGAACTAGCCCCTTGCGGAAGGAATCAATTTTGAGTACATTTCTTCTTTATTTATTTGTAGGTTTATTCTTTTGTTAATGTTTATTGCCATTTTCATTCTCATTATTATCATAATAATGATAATTTTGATATTTAGATTTTGTGTGTGTGTGTGTGTTTAAAAGAGAGAGAGAGAGTGAGTGAGTGAGTGGGTTGGGTGTGTTGAGTGAGTGAGAGAGTATGAGGGTGAGAGAGAACTGTATATAAACAATGTTAGGAATAGTAGAGGTTGACTTTCTCTCGACATTAATTGATGTGCAACATCGCCTCTAAAGGTTTATGAAAGAGGACTGGATATGTGTCTGAACACTTCATGCTACTGCTGTTGCATCAGCGCAAACACGTGACTGACGGTGCCTTGTGTGTTTGCGTGTTTGTTTTTGTGTATGTTTCTTTGCGAGGAAGGCTTTGTTTGTTGTATAAGAATAAATGTGATTGCTTTCGTGCGTGCGTTCTCTTAGTCTTCGTTTGTGTGGGAATGGTTAAAGTTTTGCATCTATTTTAACATGCTCTTGAATGAGTTGCGTCTGTTTAACCATACAGTTATTTGTTTTCCTGTTCTGTGCCGAAATATTCGAAGTTCGATTATGGAAACCTTTATTCGACAAGATTGAGTGACATCATAGAGGTATGCTGTGGTTCATCATTGTCGGTTAAAGGAATTTCCATGCACAGATACAAAAGGAAGCAATTCGTTGACATGCAAATTCATGGATTTTCCTAATGAATACTTCCCTCGCATAAATTAGCATCGTACTTGAGTAAATCGATTAGGACAAAAACGCCGGTTTCGTGGTATGAATTTGAGAAACTTTGTATGAATTGGCTTACCTAAAGCTTTGCTCCTTTGACCACTCCGTGAAGAGTTGTCTCCTTGTTCGTGTACAGAGCGTTCACGTCACAACAGCTTAGCCTCCAGCCACCGTCAAGAGGCTTCTTAACAAAAAGAAAGAAAGAAAAGAGAGAGGAAAAGAATGAGAGGGAGAGCAGAAATCGGTAGTCTTGTCGTAAATGTTCCCCCAACAATGATTTTCTCTTATTTGTTCCTCTATGTACGTTGGCCATGATTGTCCTTTGGCCAGATGGAGCCTATTTTCACACGTTTGTTCACTTTATGAAGAACGATTTGATTCCCTTTGTTCTCCCTATAACTCTTGTGTACTCACGAGTTATGCGGAGTAAGTCCCGAAAGAATCCCGAGTCAGGCTTGTCCGTTACGACGTCCTTACGCAAGGTGGCCGTACTCTGACCCGTCTCCCCCCCCTCCGGCATCTCTACGCAAGGTGGCGTACTCTGACCCGCCTCCCCCCCCTACGCAAGGTGGCCGTACTCTGACCCCCCCCCCCGCCACCTCTCCGCAAGGTGGCTGTACTCTGACCATCGTCGATCTGTCCTGCTGAAAAATGGATTCGTCCGCCTTATTTCCGTGTCGTTTCGCCTGATTCGTCTTCCTTCTCCCACTCTTTCCCTCTTCCTTTTCCTCCTCTCTTTCTTTCTTTTCTACTTCTCCTTCCTGCTTCTCTCGCTTCATCTCTGTTTCTTGTGATTCTTGGTCTACTTTTTCCTCATTTGCCCTTCCACTTCCTTCCTCGTTGCTTTTTTTCTTTTTCTTTCTCCTTCTCCTTTTCTTTTTCTCTCCCCTCCTCCTCCTCCTTCTTTTTTTCTTCTTTTTCCTCCTCCTCTCTTCCTTTTTTTCTTCATCTTCTCTCCTCCTTTCTACTCCTTCTCTCCTTTCACCTCCTCCTCCTCCTCCTCTAACTCCTCCTAGTTTTTCTTCTATCTTCTTCTTTTTCTCCCCTTTCTCCTCCTCCTCAACAACACTCATTTCCTTCAAGTTTCGTCTCCTTCCAACCCAACAGTATTCCTATAAACAACACAGCCATAGGTTTAACGTGGTGGATATTTCAGTGTTTCATATCCATGTCTAGAGGAATCGCTTGTTTACCCATCTGCAGAGTCTGGCGTATTTGGCAAATAGTTCACAAATTCCCCCATTTGCATATATAGATCCTTCCAAGTAGACTTTCCCTTGAGATCGGGTACAGGGGGGTTCGCTTGAAAGAAATGCGAAGAGGAAAGTGGGCGCAGAGAGTGCGTGTGGGTGTTGGTGTAGGAGGGAGAGTGAGTGTGGGTGTTGGTGTGGGAGGGAGAGTGGGAGGGAGAGTGAGTGAGAGTGAGTGTGGGTGTTGGTGTGGGAGGGAGAGTGAGTGTGGGTGTGGTGTTGGTGTGTGAGGAGGGAGAGAGGGGAGTGTGTGGGTGTTGGTGTGGGAGGGAGAGTGAGTGTGGGTGTTGGTGTGGGAGGGAGAGTGAGTCGTGGGAGGGAGAGTGGGTGTGGATGTTGGTGTGAGTGAGTGTGTGAGTGTGGGTGTTGGTGTGGGAGGGAGAGTGAGTGTGGGTGTTGGTGTGGAAGGAGAGTGAGTGTGGGTGTTGGTGTGGGAAGGAGAGTGAGTGTAGGGTTTGGTGTGATTATGAATTTATGAATGGGAGTGATTTTGATTGAGTATTGATTTGGGAATGAGTGGGAGGAAGTATGGGGGTGAATGAGAGTCTGTGAATATGAAAATGAGTAACAGTGAGTGTGGAAGTGAGTGGGAAGGATTGTGAGTGTAGTAGTGACTAAGAGTGGATGTGAGTTGGTGAGCCATTTTGGATGCGGAATTATGAGTTGCAGAATGAGTCTGAATGAAGGACCATACTGGAAAGGACCAAGTGAGACTGTAGTTGTGGTTGTTGACACGCATGCGGGGATAGAGACTATAGACATAACGATAGGTATATAAAAGATGTGTACATAAAGTATTGGGACAGTGACTGGCAAATGCAGTCAAGATCTAAGATAAATAAAGGATATAGAGAAAGGAATATAAGAAAGGGAAAGTGCACAGAATATCCTATGGGAATGGAGTTGATAACCGACGTGCACGCGAGATATTTTTGGTATTGAGCCTCGATCAGAAGCAGAGTGCTCGCGCGTGCGGGCGATGTCGACCCGGATGTTGTAGGACCGAAGAGGCGGCGAGTATTCACTCTCGTCGGCAAGGAGAACTGTGCTCGAAATTTGCATTTTTAGAAATGCGAGCGACCAGGAATTCCTGTATTGAAGATGATTTCCTTGAAAAGAAATATAGTCGCGACGTTGCGTCGCTTGCTAAAGGGGGAGGGGAGAGGGAGCGGGACGGAAGGAAAGGATATCCTTAAATGCTTAATGGCGACCTTAATGTCCATTCATGACTGAAAAAATATATATTTTTAGGTGTTCGCATCTGGCAACCCTGAGTTTTACAACGGCTCATAAATGCACAAAACAACTATATGTATTCCAAACTGCACTAAAACTGCCGCATTGTGGAGGCGACCGAATGATCCTGTGACGAGTTTAATCTCTCTCGTTAATCCACTTTTCGAGAAGATGGGATCATCTCCGGACGGAGGCCACTGCGCCAATGCTGGAGGAGAAAGAATGGCGGGGGAGGAAGAGGGAAGAGCGGTTATGCAGTTGTTTAGGATTGATACAGACGGCGAAACAAGTTTGGTGCTCGTGATATACACGACCGTTTGGGTTGATTTTGCCGAAAACTAATGACTGCAACAGAACACTGCAGATGTGACCAAGTCCAAGTGG